AGCTATTAAAGTTTAGCAGAAATTCGAATTAGATAAAAATGGATAGCGAAGGTAAAAATAGAGATAAATTTAGAAAGCGTAAAAGTAGAGAGAATGAGACATTCGAACAGAGAAAAGCACGGCTTGCTAGGGAGCATGATCGAAAACACCAAAGAGAGGGTGCGGAATTAGCTGAACAATGCGAAGCGCATTCGCACGTAACCGCAAGCGAAAGTGATGAAAAGTAGCAATGCAAAAAAGTTGTAACCGGGATGAAGTAGAAACCAGTAATAGTGTTAATAATCAGCGAAGATCAGAACAAATATCAAATGAAGCTATAATATACATTAATTCTTTACTGGCGGCTGATATCAACAATTTTGAACGAGATCTTCTGGTAAAATTTCGGAAAAAAATGGATGAACTTAGGTTTACACTTTGTCCCGTGTGTAATGAAAGTTTTCCAAATATTGAGCTTGTCAAAGGAAGTTGTCGCTGATGCAATAATGAAAAGACAACTCCAAAAAAATTTTCTGCAGAGAACAATATGGATCCAGGGGAAGTTTCTAAAGAACTTCAAGGACTCACAGAGGTTGAAGAAATGTTAATCTCTCAAGTTTTTACTGTAATATCAGTATACCAACTTCATGGTGGACAATATAGATACCGCGGAAATATAATCAACTTCCCCCAAGACATACAAGGGTTCATCACGCACTTTCCTTGGCATCCATCATCACTAAATGTGCTTGTTATGCGTCAGCAGTCTACAAATCAAACATTTAAAGATTTTCAAGTTTGACGTTCTAAGGTTACTTGTGCATTATACTGGTTAAAAGAAAATAATCAGTACTATTCGAATATTGTTATTGATAAAGATATTCTTCAATCATTACCAGAAGATGGTTATATAGATAGTCAACTTCCTCATATTCAGAGTGATCAGAATTCAGATAGAATAGAAGAAGATGATACTATAACATGTAGCTTTGTTCCTTTTCTCCCTTCAACTTACTGTGAGGATGTTGCAATTAATAATGCACTCAATCGCTTAAGGAATAAAAATCATTCAATAGCATGGCCAACAATTGATAGTAGCCCAATTAATGAATTCCAAACTCCAGGATATATTGCATGCGCATTTCCAACGTTGTATCCAACTGGCAGTGCTGATCTTCACTCTGAACGAATTAAAGATATTAAGCTAGCGGAATATTTTAAACACTTGCTTTGATACAAAGATGGAAGATTTGCAAGTCACAATTGATAGAGATATTTTGCTCTTAATAGTCAAATGAGATAGTGAGTACTACAAGAAGGGAGCATATACATTAGACAAAATCTTTCTGATGAGCAGCTCACCGTTGCTGATATTCAAGATATAATTTCAGAAGAGGATATAAATATGTCTAAACGAATTATGCGATTCAGAAAAAGTTTACGTGGATCGCAACAGTTCTGGATGGCACGGAGTTGTGAGTTAGCAGACATGATTAAGCAGATAGGCTTGCAAGGGCTAGTGTTTTTCACATTTAGTGCCGCAGATCTACACTGGCCTGAGCTTCATAAGCTTATACTATCAAGTGGAAACTACGATAGAGAAACTGAAAGTTCTGAATATTGTTGTCAAAACATAATCAATAATCCTCATACTGTTGCATGGTTTTTCAATAAGCAATTCGAGGTCTTTTTTGAGAATGTGTTTAAAAAAAAATGGAATCTAGTAGATTGGTGGTTCAGATTCGAGTAGCAACATAGAGGAAGCATTCATTTGTATGGGATCAGAAAAAGAGGAAATGCACCTGTGATTGACTGGAAGCAAATGAAAGAAAATAAGAATTTGATGAGTGATGTAGTAGAATATCTCAATAATATGGTCAGTACAATAAATCCAGGTCTTAATTCACCAATACCCAAGCGGCATCCATGTCAAAAAGATGATGATGAGATTTGTGATAATCTACAAGACTACATTGATTTGATAAATAAAGTGCAAAGACATACTCAATGTAGTGCTTCATATTGTCTTTGTAAAAATAGGGCTGGTCAACAATCTTGTAGATATGGGTATCCTAAAGAAAATAGTAAAATTACGTATTTGCATGATAATAGTCGTAATCAACCTGAGCTGGTTACTGCAAGAAATGACCCATATATAAATTCACATAGTCAGATTCAATTACAAAAGTAGAGAGCAAACGTAGATTTGAAGCCAGTTCTTAGCATTCATGCAGCATTACAATATATTGCTAAGTATGCGAGTAAAGCAGAGCCACGTTCAGCTGCCTTTTTAGAAATATTAAATCAGATACTTAGTAATAGCAGACCTGATGAAGCAGTACTTTCTTCAATTCAAAAATTGTTGCTACATAGTGTGGCGGAATGTGACATTTCTGCACAAGAAACTTGTTATCTCCTGCTTGGTATGCTACTCTACTATTCAAGTAGGTCGTGTGTCACATTGAACCTCAACAAAGAAGCACTGCGATGGCTTCATGGAACAGGTGGTAAAGAAAATGAATTTACTACAGTTAAGAATTCAGGGTAGACAAATAAGTCACCTCTAAAGCTCTATCAAGATCGACCTAGTGAATTAGAAAATTTTTCAATATTTAATCTTTTTCTAACACACAAATTTATAAAAAATCATTGGAAAAGATGTAAACATGAAAATATAGTATGTATCTGGCCACGCCCATCAAACCTGCGTAATGGCCCTCAATGGGAAGAATTTTGCCGTATAAAAGTCCTCCTTCACGTTTGTTATTGTGACCTTCAACAATTAACAGAAAATAAAACAGTATTATGGACTGCTTTATATGAGCGTCATCTTGAGGAAATTAATTCTAATCTACCCGATCTTATTGGTCAAGCTGTTGATAATGAAGAAAGTGTTATAGATGATGATGATGAAATAACAGAAATTGATGAAGATGAACAAGAAGAATACCGTGCTGAATGGATGCTGCTAGCAGAAATGGGACCGAATACAAGTATTGATAATTCTTCTGGTATTGGATCACGTAATATGGATAGAGATTATGATTGGGTTAGTAATAGTAGGCGTCAATTTTCGAATATCGATATTATGGAGGCAAGCAGTTTTGTCCATCAAGTTTCAGGAAACGCTAGAATAGAAAATAATGATAATTTAGTTGAAACTATAGATTTTGAAAGTTTAAGTGAAAAGCAAAAAATAGTCTGCAAACAAGTAGAATCACATTATTGTAACATTCTTGCAGGGCATCAAGTAGAACCATTAAGAATAATCATAATGGGAATTGCAAGTACAGGAAAATCACATCTTATAAAAGCAATTTGAAGCCTACTTAATACAATTGCAGGTGCAGAAGGTAATTCAGCATTAATTGTACTCACTCCAACAGGAGTTGCAGCATTCAATATTAATGGATTAACAATCAATTCGGCGCTTTCAATTCCTATACGTACCAAAAATTTTGAGATAAAAGGTGAAAAGTTGAAGCAGTTACAAGAAAGGTTTCGGAATATGAAGTATGTAATTTTAGATAAAAAGAGTATGGAGGTGTGGCGACTTAGTGAAGTGGTCTAGTTGTCACCCTCACCAAACGTTATGGGAAGATCCCATGTTCGAATCCC